TTACTGTGAGGCAATGAAATCTAAACATAGAGATGAATGGGTTAAGGCTATGAATGAAGAAATAAAATCTTTAAAGGATAACCACACCTGGATTTTGGTGCCAAAATTATCTAATTGTTCTGTTGTTTATTGTAAATGGTTGTATAAATTTAAACAAGATGAAAATGGAGTTAGATTTAAGACAAGGTTAGTTGCTAAGTGTTATACTCAAAATAAGGGAATAGATTACGATGACATTTTTGCTCATGGTTGTTAAATATTTCATTATACGATTCATGCTTGCTTTGGTTGCTTATTTTGATTGGGAGCTGAAATAATTAGATGTAAAAACAACATTTTTACATGGTGATTTGTACGAAAAGATATACATGAAACAATCGGAGGGTTATCTTGATAAAAGTAAAACAAATCATGTTTGTTTTTTAAAGAAATCAGTCTATGGATTAAAACAGTCCCCCAGACAATGGAATATAAAATCTGATGAATGTATGAAATCTTTGGAATTTGTTAAAAGTAAATTTGACAATTGCTTATATTTTAAAATAACACGTAAACACCCCATCTTCTTATTGTTGTATGTTGATGATATGTGGTTAGTGGGTCCTAGTTTGGAAACAATAAATCATGTGAAATATTGTTTAAGCAAAAAATTTGATATGAAGTATTTAGGGGATGCAAAAGTAATTCTTGGCATGAATATACTGAGGAATATGAAATATAATGTGCTCTTTTTAAATCAGTCCACATACATTAAAAAAATTCAGGAAAAAAAAATTCTATATGTGATGCAAAATTCTCATCAGTCCCTCTAGCATTGTGGACAATACCCAGTATACGTTAATATAATACAAATACAACACATGATTTAACAGCACATGATATAGTCACACACAACATAAACCATACTTGATTTTAGCACATGACATATTTTCATACAGTACACGTTGTACTTTTGAACCAACAGCACATGTCTTTATCACATACAACATGTGTTGTTTGTAATAAAAGCCTGTGTTATTTTTGTATTTTATGTGTGATGATTTGAAAAATCAGCGTGGTGCTGATTTTCCAAATTGGTAACCTTCCCATATAACATTAATTGAATTTAATTAATATTTGTTAATTATATTTAAATTTAGTAAATTTTACAAAAAAAAAAAAAAATATAGAAATATACCAATTGAGCTGAGATAGACACAAAAAGAGATGACAACAATTGAAAGAGACCGAGGGAGTATTATTTTTTCAGTTAATTTAATGCTTTTTTCAATTATTTTATTATTTTAAAAATAATTTATTTTTGCATTTATATTTTAATTTTATAATTAATAGTTATATTAAATACTCCTTTCGTCCTATTTCAATTGTTTTTTTTTCTTTTTTTCTTTTTTATCCCACTTCAATTGACATGTTTATATTTTTGGTAAAATTTACAAAATATAAACATATTTGACAAATATAAATCAACTTGATTAACTTTATAATACTTTTTCCGTTCCGCCCACAGATAATTCATTTTTTTTTTTTTTGTCTATCCTACAAAAATGATCTCTTTTTATTTTTAGTAAATCTATCAATCTTTTTAACACTTAACAAATACTTAATCTGTCCCAATACAATAGTTTTGTTTATTATTTTTGTCCGTCCCAAAACAATAGTTTTATTTTCATAAATAATCATATCACTGTATAACTACTCTTACTCTTTCATTATTAGTACACAATTGTCACTACCTTTTACACTAGTACACTCACAAAGGGCAAAAATGTCTTTTACTTATACTTTTTATCCAGTATCAATATAATATCAATATTCCTTAAATCTCGCGTCCAACACAACCAAGATTATAGTTCCGGAGGGAGTATAAATCAATCTAATTAAAATTCTAACATCTGCATAGACTCATTCAAAATCTCCTTATTTTTCTCTATTCAATTAACAAATACTTTTATTTACATTTAAGAACTCCATTTTTTATAAAACTAATGTATGATAATAATAATAAATAAATATATATATTTTTATTTGTTTGTTTTATATAAAATTTTATTCTCTACAAACTTATATTTATATTGTATATATTTATTAAGATATAATGTTAAAAATATTTGAACACATATTTCAAAAAAAAATAATTATTAATAATTAATCTCTACTATCTAAAAGACAAATCTATACTACCTAAATTCTTGTGCCCAAACAAAAGAATTCATCTTTGGTTAGGGAATATATAACATCACACATCATACGGATTCCATCAAAACTTCTTTATTTATCTCTTTCAATAAACAAATATTTATATCTACATTTAAAATTCTCTGTTTTTATAAAATTAATTTATCTTAACTATAAATAAATAAAAATTTATAAGAGTCTTATTAAAATTTTATTTTTTACAAAATGATATTCATATTACATATATTGTATTGAGATATAATGTTTATTTAAACACATATTTCAAATTTATCTAGATTATATATATATATTCATTCTTATTTTAAAATTATTAATAATATTATTTATATAAAAATATAATAAAATAATATAATGGTTTCGTCACCCAACATTTTTAGATCATTGATTTTTTTTGTGTGATACGAGGAATTATGTCAAAAGTATAAAATATATTATTTTAAATTGAATATTTTTATATTTGACTTTTTGTAATGAATATTTAAATTTTTATTTATTTTTTACTTTTATTAAAAAATATGTTGTATTATTTATTACTCCCTCAGTCCCAAACAAGGTGCAACATTTATTTTTAGCACGGATTTTTAGATGGGTAGCATTAAGTATAATAATTTAGAAATTAGGTGATGTAATGGAGAGAGAAATATATATTTTATTTTTTTAATTTGGATGATGTGAGGGGGATAAAGTGTGGGGTAGAGATTATGTATAATTAATTATTTTCTATTTTGAAAATATTGTAGGACGTTTGAGACATATCAAAAATGAAATGTTGCACAGTGTTTAAGAGGGATGGAGAATTATTTTTAGAGAATTACAATTGAAAAAATATAAACTAATTAATATCTTACTATTATTAACTAATTAAATTATTTTATTTTAGATAATAATGTGTCCTAAATAAAATAAACTATTTCAAATGATACGGATAGAGTAAATGGTATTAGTTATAAATTAAAATTTTTATGAAATAATATTATAGAAAATAGTACTCTCTCGTTTTCATGAAATTAGTCTAGTTTCTTTTGAATATCCAACTTATGAAATATTGTGTCAGGTAGTTAATTAGTTTGATTAATGGATGTAGTAAGGTGTTATATTAAATATTTTTTATTTGATAAAATTTTAAATTAAAAGTTAAAATATTTTTTATTTTAATTTTTAAATGTTGAATTTTTTATTTACTGATATTATTTTAAAAAATAATAATAATAATTGTATTTATTGTAAATCAATACATGCATTTAGATAAAATAAAAATAAAAATTAAAAATTAAAAATTAATAACTTAAATGTAATTTATACAATAAAAAATGTAATAAAAAAAATTATATAAACAATACATAAAATTTTTCGAATTTGGTTGTTGTTAGAGATAGTTCCTTATGATATACCAAATTTAATACCACACCGCATACGTACGATACAAAATATTTTGTATGATATTTTACCGTGTACAAATATTTTGGTATACTAAATTTGCGAATAAAAAATACTGAATTACGGAAATAACATGCATACTCGTAAAAAAAAATATCAAAAAAATTTCAAAATTTCGATACAATATGACTTTTTTGTATGATAATGTATACAATAAGATATTTTTAGTATATATAGATAATTAAAAAAATTGATATATTTGTATATACTGATTATTTGATACAATATCGATATCTTTTTTTAATAAATTAATATATCACAAATTATCTCTAACTGAATTGTATACATGGTATTAGAATATAATATTTTACGTCAAATACCAAAATTAAAAATAAGTTTATAATTTTGCTTTATAAATAAGTTTATTTTTTTTGAACAAAAAATAAATCAATATCAAATATCATTTTTAATTAATTTTTCAACTATAAATTTTCAAATCGAACATCAAATTTTTATTATATATTACATTAAAATTTAATTTTAAAATTAAATGAATATTTATTTATATAATATTAAATATTTATTATTTTTATTATTCAAAATTTTAGTTCAACTTTTACATTTATAATTAACAAATAATAAAATTAAAGATATTAATAAGTTAATAATATACTCCCTCCGTCCCGGAACTAAATATCCATTTGCTTTTTGCACGTAGTTTTAGAAATATTAGTATTATATTGAGATATAGTAGGAATAAAGTAGAAAGAACTAAAATAACCTTATTAGTACGTGTGATATAAAGGTAATGACATTTGTGTAATATATTGTAAGTTGTAAGGGTATTTGTAATGTTAGGTAGATAGTACAGTTACTAAAAAAAAAAAATACTTTTTTATGAGACGAACTAAAATAGAAAAATAAATACTTTGTTATGGGCGAAGGAAGTAGTTAAATTTTTTTAATTAAAAGTATTAGTTATTAATTATTAAAATGGACTAATTTCGTGGGACTGCTAAAAAAAAGAAAAGTGAACTAATTTCGGGTGGAGGTGGGAGTATATATAATAAATATAGCTAAGGTGATATTGATGATGTGAACAAACCCAAATTTGATTAATGTGATATTGAAAAAAATATTTTTACTTATTATTATTATTATTATGATTGAAGTTAGGGTGTTAGATTTTTTAAAAATCAAAACTTATGCCTTAAAAATTAATAATTTTAACTTATGTAATTAAATAATACTAGAATTAATACCTATGTATATATTTTAATTATATTTTAAATTTTATAATTTTTTTAATTTTAATTAAATTATTTATTTATTTTAATTTTAATTTATTATAAATTTATTATGTATACTAATTAATCCAAAATATCCAGAACAGATTGATTGAGTAAAACATTGGTAAATTATAACTAGGTTTGGTGGATTGTTGCAAACGGAGGTGAATTGTTGGCTGTACCTATACCTGGGTATCATCGATTGATTGAGGCCTGACTATCGGAATTTTCGAGGAAAGGCGAAAGGGGAGAGAGAGAGATTCCGAAGCCTCTGCTACTGCTAGTTCCCGGTCTTCGTTCGGGCCGTCCATCACAAAATGGAATGCTTAATGAATTTGGGGTCTTCGTCGATATGCACCTTGTCTCGGATATCCCCATTGCGCCATTCGTTATGTAGAAATTTGGGGCTCCATTCGAAGGTTCAATACGGGAATCGCAGGAATGAAGTGTTCTCGGTCCCCTATCGGGTTAGTTCTCTCTTAATCGTTTTTTGTGGTTTTTCTCCTACTTGGATTTGTGAATTGAATTGTGACCGGTTTTAATGGATTGGATATGCCGCCGAGGCACATGCACGTGTTGTCGAACCGGAACACACCTTCTGTTCGACGTTTATTCATATTTCTGTGATGCATGCTTTGGATAGGCTAGTTGAAGAATTTCCGTTGGGGGGTTGATCGAAATCTGGGGTTGGGACATAAAAAATGTTAATAATAATAATAGTAATTATAAGAATGAAAAACACCTGTGATTGGTAGTGATTTTGTGTGTGTCTGTATGTCCATTTAAGATAATTAAGGTTTGTTGGGATATGATTACGATTTACAGAGGGCAAATAAAATCTGTTTCCAAGTAATATAATAACTTTATGTGATCAGAGAACATGGAATTTGGTTGAGATTTTTTTATATTTTTATCTACTTTTCTTACACTCTCTGAGCATCTAAAACCCAGTTCAGAAACTCCCAAAAGTGGTATTAGGATAAAATTTTAGTCACAGGTTGTATTAGTGCAAAAGTATTTGCATATTTGCATTGCTTGACATTTTTTGTTGTAATGATTTTTGGACCTATAATATGGGTTTTTGGTTGAATTCCATTAGTAGTTTGGTTCTTGAAAACAACTGAAGAGATCTTGTATCTCTTGGACTCTGATAGCACAATTAAAAGAAACAAAAAAAATATTGGGGCCATTTAAGCCCTATAAGGTGTGATTTTCTGAATTATTATTGAGACTCTTGATTTTTTCATTAGCAGATCTTTAACGAGCAAAATAAATTTAATTCTTCATGTTTTAAGTGTTGAATGTTGATATACTTATGCTGGCCTTGAAGCATAAGGGATCAAAGAAATGGTCCCCTTTTTGCTATATTTCCACTTAGTATTTTGATGTCTGGAGAAAATGCTTGCAAATAATATGCCATGCCATGTCTGGGAATGATTAATGAAGTGAGGATATTGTATTACTTTGATTCTGTAATTGTACTTAGTTATGATATTCTGTTTTCACATTTTAATTGAATACATTTGACATTGCAGGCTGTGCCAAAAGCTGTTGGGGATGCACACACGCAAAGGAGCAGCCTTGAATCACTTTTCTGTTATGATAAGCCTATCCCGGAGCAAATAATTGAGAAGCCCATTGGTATATGTTTATCTGAGAAAAATGTTGGAGACAATCCTCGTTGCCCAAGTTGTGAAGCTAAAGGAGCTGTTCTTTGCCCAACTTGCTCTGGATCCGGCTTATACGTTGACTCTATTTTGGAGAGTCAAGGAATAATTGTCAAAGTTCGTTGTTTAGGTATGTTGCATAATAGGTTTTTTTTTTCCCTAAAAAAGAGGTTGCCCTTTCTTTGGCGGATGGAAAATATTATTAACAGCAGCACAACACATTCAAATGGTACTGGCATTTATGGTTTGTTAATAATTTGCTTAAATGAATGGATTCTGAAATTGGGGTGCTTTGTATGGAAATGGACAGAATCATGCTTCTGTCAACAGGTTTTCTGGTGTATCTTTACAACCCTGCATTGTTTGGTCTGAGAGTATGAACTAATTATGTGTTTGTTTGGGGGTTTTGATATTAGGTTTTGATGGGATAGTAAAATTTTGAATTTGAATAGTTGTTTGAATTGATATGATGCTTTGAATGTAAAATTGATTTTTACTGTAATATAAAAAAATAAAAAATAGGTATTCGATTTGATGTTTTTTAGGGAAACATTTTGTGAATAGTAGAAATCAAAATAAATCATCCAAACAAACACACTGGTGTTTCAAATTTCTAGTATGTATTAGTACATTCATTTGAATTTGCATTTTATGCACTTATGTGTGTTGTCCTTCACTCTACATGCAGACTTATTCATATTATTGTGTATCTTTGCTTCTTAAAATATACAACATGACTTACGACCTCATGGGGCATAAGAGATTGCAAATTGAATTGAGAATTTCTCATGAGTAAGAATCCTGACAGCTCTTCCTGTCGTCACACAGGTTGTGGAGGAACGGGGAATAATATGTGTTCAGAATGTGGTGGTAGGGGTCACTTATGACCTGCTATTGTGACAAGGTTCTCTTGTTATTACCTAGTTGCATCGTGGGATGCCAATTCTCAACAGCTTGTAAGGAATACTTTTCTTACTGGGTGTCGGATGATATGTTAAATTGAGATTTAACTTTTGTTCAAGATCATGTCTTTGATTTCTAAGTTTTTATGTACCATTCCGTGTGATGATGTGAGTCATATTATAAAACAATATCTTCTTCCACATTCTTTTACTGCAAGGATGGCTATGTATTTTTTGTCTCATTATTCTTCTATGCAGCTCTAGACACTTGAAGAAACCATTTTTAACAATAGTTGTTTTCTCATAGTTTCCTTTACGAGGAGGAACTGCCTAATACAGCATTTCACATATGCAGTTTTCTGTTGCTTAATTATCATCACCAAGTGACTCATTGAACCTTGTAATCGATAGCTTGGAATGACTTAGCAAATTATTGTTCATTTTTGTGATTGATATATACAATTCTGGACAAGAAACTGGGGGATATCCATATGAGTCTGCATTCTTTATCATATATATAACTGATTGCAAAGTAAGTGTAAACAAAGTGTACATAAATACACTCTTCGAAAGTGATAGTGGAGTTTACTCTACAAAATGATAATACAAGAATATGAGCAAATGTGCTTCTGCTATTCTTTTTCTATGTTCTATGCAGTTACGGGTGCACACTGTGCATAATGTAGAAGCAAGGAAAAACATGCCCCTTGAACTAGAACATTTGTGATCTATAACATACTTATTGTGAATGTTCTGCTTCTAATCTCTGTTGCTCCTGAATGTAATCCAGAATAGTAGAGTCAAATTGCTGGCTTTGGGGGTTTTCTGTATATGCCACATAGTAAGCTGCAACGCTAGCTTGTATCCATGCCATTGCTACCCTACCCTGCAATAGATTTTAAGAAATGTGTGGTTTGGTTTGATTATGCAATTTTAGTGTTATCCATTAGATGTGAATGGGAATATTACCATGAAATATCCAGTTAAGAATGTGTACAGAGAGACTTCGGTTGCGTAGGCCTTGTGGATCTTGAGTGCCCAAGTACCTCCAACCAGTGCACAAGTCGATCCTGTCGCCACACCACACAGGAAGCAGAATGAACTGGTAAGGTCAGAATCTATCAGCTTTTCCATCCGGAATCTCTTAAACATTTCCCATGTATCCATCGATGCCTGCACAATCCCTTTATTGTATACCCCTACCTGCACAAATCCCCACTTATTTCCATACAATATGAGCCTTGCTGCAACCCCTGAACAGCAGTTTGCACACGAAAACATGAACTCATCCACATCTCCCGAAATCAAGTTCACTGCTCGAGCCAAACCTGTAATGACGCCGATAACTGGTACTGTAATTGAGCCTATGGATATACTGCCCATTGAGTGTTTGATTGTGTTTTTCATTGCTGTTTTTATATCTATTGCTTCTGCGCTTGCAAATTGCATGTATACTACGTGAGATATCGTGACATACACCATGTTTTTTGCAGTTTGCATTGTCCATATAAAGCTCAACAGGATCAGGACTACAAATAGTGGGAGGATCTTTGCTCTACCTGCAGTGGCTCCTCCAATGCCAGAGAGCAAGAAAACTGAATAAAGAGCACAGGTAATTATCGAGAAAATTACTATAGCTCTAACTTTCAGAGGGCGATTTTCTATAGAAATCGATACTATCCTGTTGGCAAGCTTGAGCCTTGAACTAATCCAACATGCATATAGGGATTGGACGAAGGAACAAACAAAAGCAAATATGGCTACTGCAATACTCCCAGGAGTTTCTATGGAAATGAGCAAAATCCCGAACCCACAGGTAAGAAAAGGACCAAGCCAGAATGCAGCTTTGATGACTCTTGAAGGATCCAAACTGGTAAATTCTTGAAATAAAAATGCTACTATTCCTGCACAGGCAGTGGAAGAGATGACTGGAAGGTTCCATTCCTTCGGGTGGAAACGATGGGACTTGGCAGCCGATGAGACAAAACCAGAGACTGTTAGATAACACGCCAGAATCCCGATGAGAGCAAACTGTAAGTAGAAAAGGTAGTGAAAAATCTTGTTAACAAAGTTGCCCTCCCTCCTTATGTGCAAGTGTGTGCCATTTGTTTGCTGTGTCTGCATTCAGAATCAGTTTCTTGATCAGCTTGATGTTATGTGTTTATGATCTGGGGAAAATAGGAATGAGATGTGAGATGGTAAGTCAAGACGTGTTGGCGGAGTGAGAAAGAAAGACAAGAAAACTATGGAATGAGGGATTGAATAGATGAATGTTAATGTGGGGTGGGTGGGAGGGGTGATGTGTTACTTGAGCAATGGCCATGTTGACTTCATAGTTTAATATTAAAAATCAGGATTAGGTTAATTAATGTGTTGCTTGGCATTTGAAATTTATGTGTTGGAACTTGATTGGTGTTGTTTGGATGGCAGTTAGCTTTTGGTTTTGTGGAATTCTGATTTGAAATTTTAGTTGAGTTCTATAATTTCGATAATGAGTTTTTTTGGGTAAAAATTATTGTATATCACATCAATTAATTTTTGTTCAATTGAAAATTTTGTATGTGGTTTGTTTAGCATGTTATATAGAGTGGAAATAATAAAAAGTTAGAATATAAAATAATAATTCAATGTAATATTTTGAATATGAAAATTTATTAACACGATATTTTTTTTTAAAGATAAATTTTTAATATAATATTTAAAGAGAGAAACTTTGATTAATATTAAAATAAATGAAGTAAAGTAAAATAAACTAAAATAAAAACATTAGTAAACACTTAAATAATGGAAGCGTAAAGATAAAATTAGCGTGCGGAAGACCTCCGTTTAGAAAGGATAAAAATATCAAGCGTTTGAAATTTAATTTAATCAAGCCTTCAAAGAAAAAAAAAAAAAAAAAAAAAAAAAAAGGGAATGGAAAAAATATTCGAAATCTGAATATTCTTTTCTAATCAAATTTAAATTTAAATGAAATTTCAAATTTTAAAATTGAATTGAATTACACTTTTTATATATTTTAAATTTTTTAATATGTTCAAATTAATATAATAAAATTCTCAATCAATCCTAAATAAAAATAATAATAATATCTGCAATATAACAAAGGGTTAGTTCATCCAAATAATATTTTACTATTTTATATGCAATATATATTCAATTTTTTCATAAGATCATTATTTAATACAATATTATTTTTTTATCTTACCGATATAATTTTTTATTCATTTACATAGAAAAGAATAAATTACAAAAGAAAAATATCAAACACACCTAATATAATTTCATGGAATAATACAAATTTAGAATTTAGGTCAAATTTCACATATAAATGTCTTTGCACTTTTTTTATTGATTAAATGTCTATAAAGACTATGTAGCTTGCATTTCATCGACCATTTGAGCCTCTCGCATAGCTATGATTCTTCTTGCAATGCAATGCGATTTTTCATAAACATTGTTGTTGTAAGTCTCGATGTCATTGTCTTAAAAGCCCTCACTCGAATCCATTTTGTCGCAGACCACTTTTCACCTTTAATCACCGGACAAGCCTCGTGCATGCTCGAAGGATCTATTGTTCCGTTGGGAAAAAGGCTAAAAAATAGCAATGCGTCGCCCTTTCGAGGTTTTACTATCAAAATACAATAAACACATCCGTGAGTGAATTTGTTGTAAGTGAATATCGAGCGAAATCAATGCTTATCTATCCCAAAGTACAACTATATACTCTCTCTGTCTACTAGTAAGTTTCTCATTTGACTTTTACACGTCGATTAAAACAAATTAGTATTTCATATAATGCAGTGTAATAAAGTAATATAATATTTATTTTACGCCACAAAGTAAACATACCATATATAAATTTAAAATGCATGACAATAGTTCACATAACGCATGACACATGTTAGCACATTACAAAAAAACATATGATTTATATTGTTGTAATACAATTAACATATAAATTGAGAGCATATAACAATAGTTTGCACATCACACATACCAATTGTTCTTTACATATGTCACATGTTAACAAAATACTCCCTCCGTCCACGAACTAATATCCTGCTTTCTATTTGGGACGTCCAACAACTATGGTCCTATTTACTTTTTTTTTAAACACAAATTTTACTTTTTTACCCTTCATTCATTTATTACTTTTAATCTCTACCATTCAATTAAGGACAAATTTGTCAATTCATAACAAAAAGACAATCACCTAAAAAACCGTGCATATATACTTTAGAACAATAGAAATTAGACGGAGGGAATATAATATATAATATATAATTGACAATATATGTTAATGATATATACCATACATGTTTTCACAACAAATCATGTATTGTATATATCATTATAATGTCCTAATTGAAGTTAATCAACATAATTTGGATTAACCTCAATCAACATTATAACCCTGTCTATCTATAAATTAAAAATATTGGTTGAATTTCCTTGAAATTAATGGTGCTAAATTTACCTGCTTGTCCTTGTTTAGCACAATCAGATGAATAATCACCTTTAGTGTCACCATATTTTGTCTACAAAAATAATAACAGAAAAATATACACATTTAAATATATAATAAAAAATCAAGAAATTTATTTATAAAAAATATATGTAATATTAATAAAACTTGAAATTCAGTATAAAGATTGGTACATTTGCTTTTGTTATTGTAGAACTTTTTAACTTATATTAAAGTATAGGGTAAACTGTTTTTTAGTCCTGTAATTGGATCCCTTTATTATTTTAGTCTTGTAAGTGGAGTCTGTCGTAAACTAGTCCTAAGTGAAAAATTTTCGCCGTTTTAGTCCTCCGGCGCCGAAGACGCCCGCGTGGCTCGCCGGAGGTGACGTGTCCACCAGGTGTCCCGCCAGGTCAACGACACCTGGCGGACACGTGAATTTATTTATTTTTTCATTTTTTTTAATTTTTTAATTTTTTTTAATTGGACCAAATAAAAAAAATATAAATAAAATTTAAAATAAATTAACAATAAGTTTTAAAAAAATTTAAAAAAATGAAAAAATAAATAAAAAAATCCACGTGTCCACCAGGTCAGCGACACCCGGCGGACACGTCGGCGAGCCACGCGGGCATCTCCGGCACCGGAGGACTAAAACAGTGAAATTTTTTCACTTATGGGACTAGTTTGCGACATGCTCCACTTACGGGACTAAAATAATAAGGAGTCAAGTTACTCGACTAAAAAAAACAGTTTACTCTGGAGTATATGTATTTAAAAAAAAAATATCAAATAAAATATTTATTTTTTATTCAAAATTTTATACTCAATGCCTATTTTAAATACCTGCGAGTAAGGAAAAACCGTCTCTCCGCCGAGATCGACGTTTGATAAGTACATGAGGATGGTAGCCAATCGGTTACCACCCCGTTCTTGTTCGGCTACATCATCCGGGGCATAATCCGGGTGGACACCGTACTTTTGCCCTTTCTTGTAGCGCAATATTTGTATATCCTCTCCATTTTCTATGTATATATTATTAGTATATTTAGTTAGGGAATTTATTTGACATATTTATAGTTTTAAAAGATAGGTCATGTTGTAATATGTATGGTTATAGAAAAAAATATACATTTTATTTAATTATTCATATTTTATTATAAATAAAAAATAAATATTTAGAGTCCCTTGTTTTTGTTTTGTCCCGGGCCCTTCGGAAGCTAGAACTGCCTTTATTTTTTCTATGTCCACTCTACTCTTTTTGAATTTTCGTAAAGAAAAAATAATAATAAAATTATTTTACGTTTGAATTGAAAGTATATTTTTTTATTATTTTTTTGCATGTTTAACTAAAGAATATTTTTTTTTTCTCTTATAGTAAAGTAATTAGACATTCATACCAAAATATCTTTTACTTTGACATAAATTAAAAATACTCATTTTGTCCTACTTAATTTGTCTTTTTTTTTTTTCGTCCGTCCTACATAATTTTTCATTTTTTTTTTGAAAATATAATAATACACATATCTCGTAAGAGATGGTCTGGTGGTGCGTGATAAACTTTTGCCCTATCGGATTTATCCAACTAGTAAAATTAATGGTGTTTTGATAATACTTCTTCTATCTCACCTACAGTGTCCACCTTTCTATTTTCGTCTGTCTCATTTATTTTGATTTTTTTTTTTGGAAAATAATTTAAAACTTTAATCTTATTTTAAATTTTTTAGATTATAATTTTTTAAATTTTAATTAGACTAATAAATTATTTTAATCTTAATTTATAAATATTAATATTATAGGATAACTACTTTTACTAATATCTTCTTTATTATTTACTAATTGGATCTCTCCTAAATTCATGTGTCTACTGTAAATATGTTAGCGTAGTCGGGACGGAGAGAGTATATGATTACTTTTATTATAATACGAAGAGAATTACTTTTGAGTTGGACAAAAGAAAATAATAAGCATATTACTTTAAGTTGAGACGAAGAAAATATTAATTTGGATTTGTTATTTTATAAAATAAAATAAATTATTTTTATAAAAAAATTGAAAATTTGAATATTTAAAAAATAAGTGAACACTTCTTGTATATAAATGGATCGGTTTTAATCATTCATAAGCGCATGACAAATGTTCCCATTATTGTGTCCGTATTATTGTAGATATAAGAATTTAGAAGGAATATAATTAGTAAATAATTAAAAATGTATTAGTAAAAATAATTATCTTATAATAAAAATAATTATAGGTTAAGATTAAAATAATTAATTAATCTAATTAAAATTTAAAAAAATTATAAATTAAATAATTTAAAATGAGATTAAAATATATATATAATTTTTTAATAGGACATACGAAAACGAAAAGATGAATATGGTAAAAAAAAAAATACTTGTGAAAAAAATGAATACGACAAGTGAGACGGAAAAAATATAAATTTATATATACTACTACACCTTGAGGAAGGAAGGTCCATGCAGCAATTTTTGCCTCAATCTTTGAAACTATATTGTCCTGAAATAATTTTTCTCAATATTAAATTACTTGCGCATTCTAGATATATTTTAAAAATGTATACAATTTTATATATGTTGGTTTGAAATTATTAAAAATTAAATCGAAATAAATACTTCCTCCGTCCAGTTAAAAAATATACATATTTTTATTTTGGGACATCCAATTACAAAGTAAAAATTTCATTAAATACCCTACTTTTTTTCCACAAATACCCTTAGTTTACATCACATCATTACTTTTACAATATAAAAACAAGGGCAAAAATGTCATTACACTACTTTTAACTACTAACTATAATTAAAATACTATTATTTCTTAAACAACACGCCAAAAATAAATATATACATAATAAGTGGACGGAGGAAGTATTTAATAAAGTAATGCAATTTCTGTTATGTATGCATATACGGTTTTGTTTAATTTTAGATTAGATTTAAATTTTAATTAAAAATAGTTTGATATAATATTTTATAAAAATATATAATATAGTTTTACTAAAAAATTCTGAATAATAATAATAATAATAATATTTTGAAATCAAAACATACAAGCTCATCATATAATAATTTTATACTTGAATTATATTAGTAGATATGTAAATAAACTTAGGCTAAATTGCACAAAATCCACCCGTCGTTTCATAAAATTGCACCAAATCCCCCATACTTCTAAAAATGCGTCAAATTCCCTCGTGGTTTCATAAACTTTGCATCTAACCCCCTCAGCGGTCCTTATTTAACGGTATTTGTCTTAAATGCGCTCAAACTGCGAATAAATTTTATAATCTCAATTTCTAAACTCCTAAAATTACAAATATATATATTTAGCTTTAAAAAAATAGTAAAAATAAACTCTTAAAACCTGAGAAAAATAACTATTTTTGAATATGTTTACTATTTTTTTAGGGTAAATATAAAAAAAGGTAAATATATTTGTAAGTTTAGGGGTTTAGAAATTGAAATTCTAAAATTTATTCGCAGTTTGAGCGCATTTAGGTCAAATACCGTTATATAAAAACCGCTGAAGGGGTTAGACGCAAAGTTTATGAAACCACGACGGAGTTTGACGCAATTTTAGAAGTATGGAGAATTTGGTGCAATTTCATAAAATACCGGTGGATTTTGTGTAATTTCATGCCATAAAGATATTAATGCACGTTTGTTTATTTGTTTTTATTCTAATATTTTTAAAATGAAATAATTATTAAATATAGTGTTTCCTAAAACTTTTTCTATCTAAATTGAAAGTATTTTTTTATTATTATTTTCGTCATTTTTATTTAAAAGTATTTATTTTTTATTATAGTAAAAAGTAAGTACATATTAATATTAAAATATTTTTTAATATAATGTAAATTACAAATATATCCAGTAATAGTTCAATACAAAATATTATTTTTTATATTATTGATACGGATCACATACAAAAAAATATCTCAAATTAAAATACTAAATCAACAAAAAATTTTATGATTGAAAATAGTATATACTACTTTTTTTAAAATAAAAAATAAAAAAATCTACCATGTAAATAGTGAATAGATGCTCTTATAGTTAATTTTTATTTAAAAAAAATTTGTTTAGCTATAATTTGAAATTGATCGGAAATGAAATGATATATTGATTTCAATTTTTATTTAAATAGTATTTTGATATAATATTTTATAAGATAAAATAAATATACTCCCTCCGTCCCAATACAATAGTTTTATTTATTATTTTTGTCGTCCCAAAACAATAGTCTCATTTCCATAAATAATCATATCACTGTAAAACTACCATTACTTTTTCATTATTATTACACAATTTTCATTACTTTTTACACTAATACACTCACAAGGACAAAAATGTTTTTTATATGTACTTTTTATCTATTACCAATATAATATCAATATTTCTTAAATCTCATGTCAAATACAACTCAAACTATAATTTTGAGACGGAATAAATATTTTTTTATTGAATATCATGCAGAATGAATAATATTAATTCAAATTTAAAATCACAAAAGAATAAATCCTATTCATTTTTTTTTTTAAAGTATATAATTATTTTTTATAAAACATCTAGTAAAAATAAAATAAAATGAGTACGTAAACAAACAAGTATATACTCCATGTATTAAAATTAAAAAATGAATAGAAGTACTAGGTTCGGCCGGAGTTATCCCATGTGCACTTTCGGATAGCAGCCGCGAGTTCCCACGTCATTAAAAATAATAATAAAATAATAATAATAATAATAATAATAATAATGAATAGAGGTAAGGTGACCTGTATGGTTGTCGGAAGAAACATGCTGGAGCTTGTGCGATATTCGCTCATTACATTAATGCCATTCTCCTCGTCAACCACTTGAGATTCTTCTAATTTGTCTTTCCCCTACATAATATCAAATAATAATAATAATAAATAATAATAATAATAATAATAAATAAAATAATAATAATAATACATTTAATAATTTACCAGATAAATGAGATGATCGCATTCATCATCACTTAAAAATCCTCTGTATATAAACGCCCTGTACCACAATTATTTTAAAATAAATTCACAACCAAACTAAATTAACAACTGCCTCTTTAATTTGTGCTCCAATTTGTCAGCCCCTTTAATTTGAGGGTAAACTGTTTTTTTAGTTGGACCAAACTAGTCTCGTAAGTGAAAGTTTTTCGCTGTTTTAGTCCTCCGACGTCGGAGACGCCCGCATGACTCGCTAGAGGTGACGTGTCCGCCATATGGTATGTGGGACGGAGAGAGTGTATAGAAATAATACTATTATTTTAAGACCGACTAAAATTGAAGAAGAAGAAGCAGAACCTGGGATTCCATGAAATTTGGCTGACACGGCTTGGATCGAACTGACCCGAAGAAGCCCCATATGTGAACTTTTTCCTGATTACATATATATATATATATATAAAGAAAAAAAAAAACACGATCAAACATAAATTAAATAAAATTTATTTATTTTTCAAAATTACACTAAATATATATATATATATATTTATATATTAGTGATAAATCACATACCCTTTATATGATTGAGCAAGAAGGGCGACCAGAAAAACGATTTTGGGATCCATCAAAATGCGAAGAGTGGAAAATAGCAGCAGAGAGTGTTCATTACACATATTTATTTCTTTTCTGTAGAATTTTATTTATTTATTTATTTATTAAACATTAAAAGTGTAGATAAAAATAGGTTTGAAAATTTGGAGTAGAAATAAAATAAAAAAAAATAAATAAAATAGGTTAGGAATTGTCAATAGAATAGAAGAAGTGTACAGTACGGATAATGAGATACATAAATGGCTATGCTGATTTCCTGACATCCGTTTACTTTACGAGCGCATTTAACGAGACAATTTAATGGGCCACTAAAAATTGGCCCACTATTGTATGGGCTTTTGGGCCCATTACGAATTAGGGTTTCTCAATTGTAAAACCCTACCCACATTTCCTCCTCCCTATAAAATGGATAGGACTCCGCCTGGTTGATAGGTTGCTGCTCTCTTCGTCCCTCTCAGGTACTGAGCTCTTATGATTTGATGTATTTTTTTAGTTTTTCGTCTTTTGCGGGAATGAGATCGGGCGATGAGAAAAGAAACACTGCAACGATATAATTGGTAATTTTTTTTTACATGATTTGTTTCGTTGTGTTCAAGTCTCTGATGATTTTGATTCGTGTCTCTTTCTTCAATGTTGTTTGATTGATATTTTAGATCGTTTTTTTTCTTTTTTAATTTTTCCTTGGCTTTCTTCGAAGATTTTGCGTGTAAATTGGCGAGATTCGAAATTAGGGGATGAGACAATTACTGCAACAATATGATCGGTAATTTTCCATGATTCGTTGTATTTAAGTCTCTGATAATTTCAATTTCTAATCTCTGTCAAAATTCATCTGTTTCTTTGGCGTTTGTTCTTTTGTTCTTCCTGCTGTTCCCTTGTGTTTCTAGAGAATTATGCTTTACGGTATTTGAACTTGTGTGTTTTGGAGATATGATGCGAAAAACTATTTGGTCCGTGTTTCTGAATCAATCGTGACTGAGAAACTGCTACCAATATCTGATCTCCATACACCATAATATATTGTTAGAATTGCTTTTTACTCTTCATCAGCGGAGTTTTGAAAAAATGATTTTACGACAGAGATGATCTGTGGCGGTTCGATGATGATCTACCTTTTATTAGGTGATATACGCTATGCTGAAGTTTGTTGTGAGTGAAAAGAATTATATGCATATGAGAACCGCTGCACTTTATTTATTTTTCAAACGATCGATGGTTGCGAATTGGGTGTTTTTTTGGGGTATTATGTTCATGTGTGATAATTTGGTCAAATAAATATTGATATAACACAATCAATACTAACACCAACACTTTTACATGTTCATGATTTATATCAGAGCCGACAAGACCTGACACCGTATAATTGAATTTGAGTCAAAGATTTTAATCTGATTATATATATATATATATGGATTGACATGAACTTGACACGACAATAAATTGGTCGGGTTAGGGTTTATAAATAGCTCTCAATTTGAACACGATACGACAATCCGATTATAATATATTAATATTGATTAATATATTTATTATATACACAAAATAATAATAATTTATTAATTTTCTCATAAATTAAGTTAAATTAAATTCTATTTTAAATGTTTTAATCTAGTTTATGTTCAAATCAGTTAGATAAAAACTAATGACAACTTAACAAAAAGTTATTTGATTTGAATAAAAAAAATTGACTAATTATATATATGGGTCAATACAAGTTAATCTGAACTTGATACGATAATAAACGGGTCAATACAAATTTGATACGATAATAAATGAGTTGAGTTAAGAGTTTAATTCAATTCATTGTTGGCTCTAATTTCTATTAAGTAATGATTTGGGCTTTGTTTACCAGATCAATTTTTACACATTTTCACATTTTATTTTTTTCGAAAATTTTTACATCTAATACATTTTTTTTTTCTTTTTATCAAACAACAAATTAGAAGCTAATTTTTTATTTTCTTTTCAAACTTTTAAAGTTTAAAAGATTTTTAAAAACCTCTATTTAAATAAACCCTTTGTGTATATATACTCTTTCCGTTATTTGTTTTTTTTATATAGATTTTTAAATATTAGTATTATATTGAATTGCAATATAAAAAAACAAAATTACATCTATTAGTATGATGCAATATAAAAATAATGGCATTTGTGTAATATATTGTAAGTTGAAAGGATATTTATTATATTAGGTAGGTAGTACTATTATTAAATTAGAAAATAATAATTTTATTTGAGATGAAAGAAAATAAAATATGATAATTTTTCAATGAGACGGAAGGCGTGTATATATATATATATATGTCGTATGAACTTTAGGGTGTGCAGCCCAAGTTTGGGCAGAATGGGCAGAAACACTGCATTTTGCACAGTGTTTGTGCCCAAATGCATGTTTTGGTGGAACAGGGCCTGGCTGTTACATTTTTTTTTTTAGTTTTTAATTTTTTATAATTCAAATAAATCAAAATTTATAAATATGTGTAAATATAAAATAAATTTATAATCAAATTATACAAGTTAATACATATTTATATTATTATATTTATTACCATCAACTATCCAAATCCAATTTTAATATGAATATTTTATATAAAAAATATTTTTATCAAAAATTAAATAAATTGATTAATTTGACATTAAAATTAAACAGATTTATATTTAATGCATGCTTGTTTGTTTGTCTTTTTTATTTTAACATTTTTACAATAAAAGAATTATTAAATATAATATTTTGTGCACTAATATATATTCATTGAAGGATTAAATACGAAATAATTATATAAAAAAAAAAGTTTTATTTTTTAATAGAAGTAATTATATATTAGTATCAAAATATTCTTAAGGTTTGTTTGAATTAACTTAAAAAATAAGCAAAAGTTAAAAACAGAAGTCAAAAGCTTTATATTTGCATCAATCATTATAAAAATAATTTTTGTTTTAAATATAATAAAATTGAAAGTATTTTTAAATTGTTAAAATTATTTAAAAGGATATTGTTAATATAATTGTAATTTTTTATATTATATATAATTTTTTTTAATTATATTTAAATATTTTATATAAAAGTATAGAACATATATTTTTAACTTTTAATTTAAAGAAAATATATTAATTAAAAATAAAATTATAATATAATAGGAGTATTAAATTATTTGTATTTTATAATTTATTTAAAAAAAATTTAACTTATATTTAATAATTTTTAAAAGTTTTCTTCACTCCCATTCATCCTAGAGCAAGGATCGTTGGACTTTAGCGGTTTTGTCGGCGAGTGAAGCAGAGGATTGCCGTGAAGAAGTTCAGGGGACATACGTTCACGGGGATAGGATTTCCGGCGGTTGAGCGCAAAGAGGTAAGGAAAACGGAAATACATTTCAATTTGAGATTTAATTGGTTAGTTAATTTCGTAAATTCGTGCAATTTTCGATAGATCTGTACACATCAATCTGGCGTTGCCTTCATTCATCACTAAGGGTTTCATATAGGAGCCAAAAGAATATGGATAATTGTGCATGACTGCGCATTTAGGTCTGTTTTTTTTGCCTCAATTTCTATGGGAAGCAACCATTTTATACGGAACGAGTACGGCTGTGCTTGATTGATTATATTATGCTGTTTTTGGTATTACGTGAAGCACACAATAAATAACAATCTACCACCGCTGTACACAATTATGTGCATTTTTCTGTTTACTTTTTTAGGACCAGTTGGTAACTGACGACTGACCTGTACGGCCATGCAAATGTGGCTGCATTTCTCTGTTCGGTGTATTTAGTGTTATTTCCGAACAACCACCGACTCATGCATAGCTATACACACATTTGTTCTTCCAATAAGGTTTAGAAGTATAATAAAGGAGAATAAATTCATTCTTCATATATATTCCATTATTTTTTATATTTAATACTCATTCAAAATTCAATTGTGTGCTCATTTGATTAGACACGAATTTTAAGAAAAATATATAAAAATAGGAATTTTACTTTTTTTTGATAAAAAAAAAATAGTACTTTTTTACAATAAATTTGGATGACAATCAAAAAAAGAAAAATAAGAATAGATTTGGACGATTGAAGAAGTATAAATTATTTTTAATTAAACTAAAAATTTCATTAAGCCAATCATCACTTATCAAAATACTATTTAATAAAACTTCCCAAATTCTAACAAAATCTACTACAGATAAATATGAATTCTCAAAACTTAAAAAAAAATTCAAATCCAAACCAAACTTAAAGTCATTCATCCCGAAACCAAAATAAAAAAACACATTCTTAGGGTGTGTTTGTTTGGAGATTGAATTTTAAATACACTATTCATTTCATTTTTTTCTTTCAAAAATATCAAATACCTATTTTTTATTTTTTATACTCCCTCCCTCCAAAAAAGAAGTATTCATCTGTTTTTTCGCATAGTTTTAAAAATATTAATATTATATTGAAATATAGTATGAATAAAATAAAAATTACTAAAATAATCTTGTTAGTATAGGTGATATAAAAGTATTTGTAATGTTAGATAGATAATAAAGTTATTAAAAAAAAATAGATACTAAAAAAGAAAAATGGATACAGGAAGTATTATATTAAAAATCAATTTTACATTCAAAATATCACATTAACACCTATATTTATATCATAACATACAACTATTCAAATTTAAAATTTTTACTATTCAAATCCCAAATCAAAATCCCCTCCCACTGACAAACGCACCCGTATTTATAATATTTCTATCCCACCCGGAGGTAAGGCATATTCCTGTAGTTGAGTCGTAGATTGCTGTTCTTCTCGAAACGCCTTTCGGGCTGGCGAGGACGAACTGAAGTAGAACCCTCCGAGCCAATCCTTTGTTCGTGTTTTTTTTCCTATATAAATGAATTATTCTATGTTCTCTCTCAACAATTTGTTATACAAGTCAATTTGTCGGTGATTCCATTCTTTTTATGAAGCAGAACATTGATTCAGCGGAAGATACATCGGCTATGGGAACCAGCGGCGCTATACGACTGATAGGTATGTTGTAATTTCTCAATTGAATGGTGGTTGTTCGTTACTCTGCTATGCGCCTGATTATTTTTCTTATACATTGCTTTTTATGCTGTTTTCCTATTGCAGACATAGCCGTCAATTTCACAGGTGTGATTTACTATTCACCAAGTATATTGAAGTTAAGCATTACAATTTTTTGTGTCAATGTTCTATAATCTTTCGAAATGTGCAGATGGTATGTTCAGAGGACTGTACAATGGGAAGCAATATCACGTGGCAGATATTGCTACAGTGCTGAGTAGGGCTTGGAATGCCGGCGTAGATCGGATTATTGTAAATTCTTTAGCATAAAACCTTTTTTCATACTTGTATTTTCTTTCCGTTGAGGTGGTGTTGTTTGTATAATTTATTGCTCTGTAGTTGAATGGCTTTGATTTTTGTTTGTGTCCTAGGTTGATTCTGAAAATTGAAAATGTTGACCTGTGTTTACTTTTTCTCTTTTGGTTTTGTTTTGGTGTGTTGAATTTTGATGGCTTTGAACTCAGTCTTATGGATGTAATGTATTGAAAGAAAAATAATTTTGGATGCCATTTGCTGTTTAGGAAAAATGATAGGTTTAATGGTGTGGAAATGGTTTGAAAATACAATAAACAAACCCGGCTTTAACTAAGATCTTGATGGGTTTTAATTTATATCTAGATGCTGAAGTCAATGTTGCTGTTAGAAACCTTATGCGGCACAAAAGAAACATTTCAAGCTGAGTAGAAGGATACTTATATCTAATACCATCTCAATTCTGAACTCCGCATTTGCAGTTCAGATAAAGGATCTGATTTCAAATGATAATATCTGATATCTACAAGATTTATGCCTTTTCATTTTGATTTGTTTGAAGGTTTGTTGGTTGATGTTTCTGTCAACTTGGAGCCCATTAGTAAAAAATTAAAAATTTTGAAGCATGGCTTTGACTATAGTCGATATTCTTTTGAAAATTGGAATTGATGATAGAAATAGTGGCATGTTTTAGTGTCAGAGTTATGAAGTGCGTGATTCCCATAATATTTAATTCATTCCAGGTTACTGGGGGCTCTTTGGAGGAATCAAAGGAAGCTCTAGCTATTGCTGAAACTGATGGTCATTTTATTTGTTCTACTTTGTAGTATAAATCTAAATATTTTGTGGTTTCACCATGGTCTTCCACTAGACTTACTAATAGTGTTGCAGCGTTTGTTATGGCAGAAAGACTTTTTTGCACAGTTGGTGTGCATCCAACAAGATGTAAAGTGAGAATTTATTCTTAATTTGTTTTATTCAAGAAAACATAATTTGTTTTATTCTTAATTTGTTTTATTCAAGAAAACATACTTTTGTTTCTATATTTACTTATTTTTATATTTACTTCTAAGATTTTGTGTTATCTATCAGGAATTTGATGACAGTGGTGATCCAGAGAAACATTATGAGGCTCTTTTGTCTCTGGCTAAAGCCGGGGTTGAGAAAGGCAAAGTATGTTTTATATTCTTAGCTACAATGCTCAACTTGTCACCCTGATTCAGGATCCTCACTTTGAAACAAAATCTTTTAACTTAAGCTGTTAAACTTCTTATTATGATTATTTGCTTTCGTTTGATACTTACATCATTTCAAGCAAGGTGGTAGCAATTGGAGAATGTGGTTTGGATTATGACAGGCTTCATTTTTGTCCGGTTGAAATTCAAAAGAAGTATGTGGAGCTTAAAACCCTCTTTTCTTTAGTGGATGTTTTACTTTTTTTTTTTTTTTCTGGAAGGGAAAAACAGAAGGAAATTGCCTTTTTTTTTTTTTTTCATGTAGTTCACCTACACATCTATTCTTCTTAATACACGCTGCTTTTTAAACATAGGTACTTTGAAAAGCAATTTGAGTTGGCACATGCTATGAAATTGCCAATGTTTCTTCATATGCGAGCAGCAGCAGAGGATTTCTGCAGTATTCTCGAACAAAATAAACATCGGTATGATTTATGAACTTTTAATAATACTCCCTCCGTCCACAAAAATTATGTCACTATTCTTTTTCTGAATGTACGTTAAATTTATACACAATTCATTTATAGTAAACAATTTTATCCATCCACAATTTATTACCTCACTTTAACAAATAATAAGTAAATTGCGGCTACTTTTTTTACTTACCCCATAACCCCACTAATTTTCTTTTTATCAATCCTTTAATAAATTTCCTAAATACCCCAATTTTAATGTTAAAATATTATTATTTTTTAGTCTCCGTGCGAACAGAGAGTATATATATATAGAGAGAGAGAGAAAGAGAGAGAGAGTAGCTATTGGCTTATTAGACATTGTTGTGATTGTTATTGCCTCTCACACAACAACTATGCCACAGCTAATAGATGTTATGTTATGGTATGAGAGTGTTACACAGAAGTTTAGTGATGATGGTTTCATATAACTAATTTGAAAATGCCATACATTCCTGTATTCGTATTTTGAGGTGTAAATGAAAATTCTATGACAACTGACAATCTATGTGTCTGCTTTACATAATTAGAGTCCCATATAATTGTAATAATATTATTATTTTGTTTTTTTCATGTTGATTTCCTTATCTGCAGCCTTTTCCAGTTTAGCTTTTCCCTTTTTCTCTACTTTCTAGGTTCTGTTCCGGAGTTGCTCACTCTTTCACTGGTAGTTCCCAAGATCGTGATCGCCTTCTTTCTTTCATTAATCTATACATAGGTAAAGCTATAGTGATTTTTTGTTTTCATTTTTATCTGCCCTGGCTTTACATATAATGCATACGTATATATATTATCTTTCTGAAGTTTTCCGCTTTTAATCAATGCTAGGTGTCAACGGATGTTCTTTAAAGACAGCTGAGAATGTTGATGTCGTGAAGGGAATTCCAGTTGAGCGAATGATGATTGAAACTGATTCCCCATATTGTGAAATCAAGAACACACATGCCGGAATCAATTTTGTTAAGTCTTCCTGGCCTTCGAAGAAGAAGGAGAAATATGACCCGTTATGCATTGTCAAAGGTCGCAATGAACCGTGCTTAGTATGGTAAGTATGATACTTCCAAACTGCATATAAATCCACGTCATGGAACTCATAGTCTAATGATGCTATAAACGAAGATGCATGTCACAAAGGCTTGAATTTTCTCTAATTATTTTTAATGCTTAGGCATTTTGTCTTGAACCCGATATGTTGACAACTTATATATGATTTGGTGCTTATATCTGAATTTCATACTCTTTAAATACTATATGTGTTGTAAATTAAAAATGCAAATGAAACACCCATTTAAGTACCCTATGAGCCTCATATTTGACAAATGCATTTAGGGATGTTTTTTTTTTTTGGATGAATTTGGATTTGAGAATGAAATTAAAATAGATGGATTTGCACTACATTAAAATTTGAACAACTCATAATTTAAAATTGGCTTCGTAGATTTGAAATGCTTGTGCATACCTAAATGAAAGTAATGGATTAGAATGCGATTTACAGGCAAGTTTTGGAGGTGGTGGCTGGCTGTAAAGGCATTGCAGACATCGACCAGCTCGGCAAAACATTGTACCACAATACCTGCAGGTATGTATTTTCATTTCTAGATTTTCACATTCAAGGTGGTTAATAAGTCTCGAATATTTCCATGCGGCTTGGTTGATTTAAATTAGTGAACATTGTGCTGGTAGTACATAAAATATATGGCTTGAATGAAAACAAAATGAGCTTGTGTTAGATTCTTATAATAATAATAATGTATGCTATTTTGAAAGTGTGCTATTTTTATGCTCCCTCCGCCCGTCTCTAAGGGTTATATTTACATTTTGCGTCATTGTACTTAACATTAAAAATATCCTTATATTTGTATAATTTTTTTTTGTACAAATGTCCTTTTATTAATATTATAAGACACTAATGGAAGTATTTTTAAAATTTTTTTTTTTGTTAATTTATACTACATTTTGATATAATAATTAATATTCAAAGATCAACACACAAAAAGTAAATGGAACCCTTAGAGCCGGACGGAAGTAGTATATCTTATGTGCCTAGTTTAATTATAATATGTGTTATATGTATTATTGTCTTATGCTGTCGGTTCATATATATATATATAATATTTTTATTTCATGGGCTGTTGGGTTATATTTCATGTGTTATCAGCACCGTATTGACTAATAGCTATCAGTACGGGAACAGTCGCCATTTCCATGAGAATGACTTCGTTTGCGTTGTATTACACATAATGTTATATGCTTCATTTCCCATCTTTGGATTGAATGCAAAGAAAAGAAAAAAAAAAAAACATGTCAACAATACAAGAATACACCGGGTTTGTTCACTTTGATGTTTTTTTCCTACTTATTTTTCCAAAAAACATTAACACATCACCCATATTTATTATTTTTTTATATTTTCTACACAATTTTTTATACATAGCATAAAAATATATCTTCAAATTATCTCACAAAACAACCACACCCGTTCTTATTATATGCAGGGTTTTTTTCCCACAAGATCTGGACTCAGCAGCAGATGCACTTCTTGATGGTGCATGAATAAACACCATAATACAAGGTGAGTGGAATTCAAATTTCTGATAATCATTCACATATTATTATTATTATTATTATTATTATTTAGGAGTGTGGTGTCTTCTTCCATTTTGTTGGATTATGATCCCTGCACTTCGTGCAGTGTTCTGTTTTATTACCATCCAATATAAAATTGATTTTTAATATAATAATAAAAATAAAAAATAAATTTAATTTTTGATTTGATACTTATCTGCCCGGCAAATTAGGCCGGACGGACAAGTTACACTAGTCGAACTGGTATCGGAGTTTTTAACCCATGACGTCACGGTCATGAGTCCAACCACACCACCAGGTTATCCTTTACTGGACGACTTTTTATTTTTTTGTGTGTATGAATAGTTGACTCGTATACATGATGTGTATAATAATTACATAATCTACGTGTAAATTATATTTTACCGAGCATAACTTTTAGAACACTTGTAGCGGATATTTTTAGTTTAACTTTAATCAAATATATCATACAAAGGTTTACTATTTATATCAACACATCTTCACTGCGTTCTCAAAATTAATCTAAACACCATCACTCCATTTTAATTTAAAAAATGAAATCCAAATACCTAAAACCCAAAATGGTGAAAAAGAAGAAAATAGGGGCGGAGGAGGGAAGAAGGGGGAGCATCAGTTAACTTGTACTTATTAAACATTGTCTTTTTCCATTTTTTTTTATATTAAAAAAGAAAATATTGTTAGTATAATCATATACAAAAATTTTTCTTTGCTGTTACTATGGGTTAGTTAATTTATTAGGAAAATTTTCATATAAGTTTTTGGAATCAACATATTATGTGTTTTACTGAATGATTGAATTTAAATTTAAAAATTATTTGACTAATTAATATAATATTTCCACCTTTCCAAACACCCTGCAATATTTCTTTTTTTGGTATGTCTCAAATATCCTGCAATAGAAATAAATAATCATGCTTAATTCCTATCCCACACTTTATCTCCTCACATTATTCAAATAAAAAAATAAAATATATATTTTTCTTTTCATTACATCACTTAATTTTTAAATTATCTTACTTAATACTACCCACCTAAAAACCCGTGCCAAAAGTAAATGTTGCACCTTATTTGGGACTATTAAATATTAGATAAAATTATTATGTTTACTTAGTTTGATTATATGATATTTTTATTTTTTGTTATCCAAAATACCTTATTAATCTTATTATAAATTATAGTAATACTCTACTATAATTTGTTTTATACATGTTTTTTTTAAAATAAAAATAAAAAAATAAATTATGGCAATATAATATATAAAAATATAATTACAATTTAATTGTCGTATTGTCATAGCATAAGGGTTTATTTATTTAGTGTTTTGATTTGAATTTTTTTTTCTTTTTTTTTTAATGTAAAGTACATCAAGTTGTTTCACTAATATAAAAAATAATATTTAATATTGATTTTTACGAAAGAATAAAATATATATTGAGAATTTGGTTGAAAAAACATGTGAGCAAACAAATTCATAATTTGATATAGTACTTTTTATTATTATTTATTAAATATATTTAATTTTATCTCTAAAATTAAAAATTAAATTTTTAAAAAATATTTTATATTATTCTTAGCTTTTATACTATTATTGATTGAAAATTAGAAACTAAATTGTTGGCCCCACAAGAGATGATCGGTGCTATGGAGATGGACTTGTGATCGTGAGATCATGAGTTTAAATCCCGACGTCTCGAGATCTTGTTTGTCATATATGTTTCGTCTAAGTTCAGCCAGAATTTTATTCAAAGCGCACCCGAATGGGAGCAGCCTACAAATTCACTTGACACAAACTCGTTATTTGTTGGACGATCGATTTGGGAATGAACATACGGGTGATGACAAGAACAAAAAGTACAAAATAATTGTTAATCCAATTCGGCTACACCAGCCTACATATGGGGATTCCAACCCAAAATCGTAAACATTAAAACATGAAGATATACGGATACAATTCGAGCTGCCCTCGTCAAGAAATCAACACCCCTATTTTTTTAACTCATACTAAACTTCAAACCTATCTCTTCTATCATCACTGTTGCAAATTTTCAGTAATCATTCATATTTTCCATCCAAACAACTAGAATAATTTTATCCAATTATAACCTTCACGTTTGTTCCAATACAAATTTTGTTATAACTAATAAAAAAAAATTTCAATAGAAATTATCAATGTGCTAAACACACTGGCACATGCACGGCAACACAACGATTCTTGAATTAAAAATCAAGTGGGCCTTGGGTTTAAATTTTGAAAACCCAATCTCCTTCTATTGTCCATGTCCAGACAATTTGTAAACATCAATCAAAATAATAACTAACAATATAAACAAATAGATTATGGGCGTGTTTGACAATTCTGTTAGCTGATTCAATTAACTCATAGCTATTAGCTGATTCAATTAGCTTGTTTGACTAGCTGATTCGATTAGCTGTTTGTATTAAAATGTTTGGTAAAACAACTTGTTGATATTAGTTGTTTATACGTAAAATGACAATTAAGGACATTTCTATTTTATTATTTTTCTAATATATTCAATTGAGTTCTTTTGAGTTTAAAATATTTGACATTGTTTTGTTATTAGTTATTGAAAATTGTAAAAGTGTTATAAAAATATTTATTTTTATTATAGTTAGATTTAAAAAATAATATATTTTTATTGAAATATATAAATAGTTTTTTCTATTGAAAATGATGTAAAATATAAAATAATAAATTTTTCGTATATATATTTATTATATTAGTTATCAATTAGTTCATTATATTTATAATTTTCAATAAATTTAATTTATTTTTAATATAAAATTTATATAATGTAATTTTAATATGAAAATAAATTATTAATATTTATATTTTCTATTTTACGTTGATTTTAATAAATTTATATATTTTACAATTAAAATAATTTTTATATAAAAATTAATTATTTTAAATTTATAAAAGTAAAATAATAATATAATAAAATATTCTAATATAATTAATAAATAATTAAAATATATTTATTTGTGTAAAATGCATAATAAATTTTTAAAGACATGTAAGGAATAAATTTTTTTTTATGAGATCCATGTTGATTTGCAAATTCTCATATCCCATCTCTAATTTTAAATTTAATCATTTTAGTTAAATTACTAATTTAGTAATCAATAGTATTAATTTAGCTGAACTAAAAATTCACATAGCATTTATCCTAATTTATTTATATAAAATGATTTTAAATGTTTAAAAAGAAAAAAAAAAACCAATTTAAATATTTTATTAAATAAAATATAATAATAGCAAAGGTTAAATAATAATTTTGTCGGAATTTTAATTATATAGCGTCCTAATGTACTAAAATAATGAGATTATAAAAAAAATATGTAGAGTTTGTTTTGCCTAATATTTTTTTTCTATAGGATTTTTAATATATATTTTAACTTTTAATAAAAATCTATATTTAATATAAAATACTATTCCCTCCGTTCCTGTACAATAGTGCTGTTTACTATTTTTTTCCGTCTCCAAAACAAAATTTTCATTTCCCTAAATAATCATATCACTGTAAAACTATCCTTACTTTTTCATTATTATACAATTGTCGCTACTTTTTACACTAACATACTCACAAGGATAAAAAGTCTTTTACCCGTACTTTTTATCAACTATCAATGTAATATCAATATTTTTTAAATTCCGTGTCAAATACAATCCAAACTATAGTTTTGAAACGGAGGGAGTATTATTTTTACATGATACAATTTCTTTATCTAACATGAAAACAATTATTTAAATCAAAATACTAAACAAATAAATTTTGTCAGACCTAATTTACAGGTTAAGAAAGTTTACATGTACTACCCTGTAAAATACTCTCTCCCTCCGTTCCACATAATTTGTCCATATTTTCTATTTTCATTCGTCCTGTATAATTTGTTCTTTCTATTTTTGAAATATAATTATGCATTTTAATCGCATTTTAAATTTTAAATTTTAAAATTTTTTTAATTTTATTTAAACTATTTACTTATTTTAATTTATAATTATTTTTACTAATAAATTTCTTAATAAAATCACATTACATGGGACGGTGGCAAAAATAAAAAAAAAAAAAAAAAAAAAAAATAAATAGTTGGGTAATGGCCAATGAGAGATATAACACGTGTTGTTAAAAGAGAAAACACATTGGGTCAATATCGAATACAATTGAATTCAACGTATAGTTCAAAATTTCTTTTATTTTTTGGGACATAATTCAATTACGTACAATACCAGTTGGTTGGTGTCGTGATAATAATCGAAGCAAGTGTAATAGGCGGCGGAGGAGTCGGACATGGCGGTAGGGCAGCCGTGAGCCGCCGGGTATGAATCCAGCGCCCCGTTGACGCGGACTAATATATATACATAAGAATCCGAATCCACTCCCAATTTTTTTGTTCCTGATCGTCATCCGTCGAGATTGGTCTCGACGCGTCGTTCGCAGTGGTCAACAATGGGATTGTTCGCCTACACCGTGGCCGGCGGTGCCCTAATTCTGATCGGAGCGTGGGAATCGCTGACCTCCGCCTTCGATTCGAGCAGTGAAGCTCAATCATCGCCGGATTTGCCGGCGTTCGCTTCCGAACACGTCGAAAGGCCTTCGCCGTCGTCGTTTCCATCAACGGTGACGTTTCTCTCGATCTCCGGTCTCGCCGTCGCTTTCATTGCCAACTGTTTGGTTTCGATATCCGACGCGGCTGGCTCGAGAGATCAAATCGGCATCGCTTTACAGTTGGAGGTAATCGCAGCTGCTTTGCTGTTTCTCCTCTATTCTGGTTTAGGCATTTTCGTGAACAGTAAAGGCGCATTTCGATCGCCGGCGTATATACTAAATGTGATATATGTTTTTGCTTTTGGAGAGGAGTTTCTGTTGTTTTACAAGCAGAATAAGGACTCGTCTGGCGTTGAGAATCGTTATTACGATCTTCTTCTAGTGCCAATCGCCATTTGTCTCTTCTCAACTCTGCTTGAATTGAAAAGCCCCAAATCAAATTACCCTAGATTAGGCCGTGGCATTGGGTTGGTGTTACAGGGGATGTGGACTTTGCAGATGGGGTTTTCCTTTTACTCCAATTTAATGGCGAATGGTTGTGATTTGCATCAAAGAAGCAGGGGCAATTACACTGTCAAGTGCAAGGGGCACATGGATTATCACCGTGGCCGAGCTATTGCTACTTTGCAGTTCAATTGTCATATGGCTCTTCTTGTTACGGTGGCCGTTGGTTTGTACTCTCTATTATGTAAGAAGAATGGAATCAACAAAGAGTCTATGCGATATAGGCCACTTGGAGTTGGAAATGGAGACGGGATAGAGATGTTGCAGGACGGCCGTTCTCAGTTCACTTTGGATAGTGATGATGAGGATGAAAGAGGTGAGATTAAGGAGTCGGGAAGTGGGGAAATGCAGCATAAACCTGCTGTCGCAGCTCCGAATTCTACTGTTAATGGACATGGTTCTCATCCTTGAGGTAAACTAGAGGGATGAACATGTTCTTGGGAGCTTGGCATATGCTTTTACTATATATGAAGTCGTGTATGATTTAGATTTAATTTTTTTCAAGTAGGAGAACAAAAACATTTTAGAGTTGATTTGAGTTTGCTAGAATTACCTTTTCTGTGAGCCTTCTACATTGTTTTACTGACAATTTGGATTTGGCATTTGGATGGTTAAATTTTTAACATGTAGTTTGGAGTGATAATTTGTCCATTCTTTGTTGATGTTACGCAATTTTCATTTCACAAAAGATCTACTATTTTGTTTGTGTAAAGGAGTTAACCGAACGACATTGATTTTAATCTAATTACTGCATGTAAGAGATCTCGCCTATTAGTTCCACCTGACAACTTTCTTCATAAGGTATAATATTTTCATAGACACTTAAATTTTTCCGTTCTTTGTTTTAATTTTTAAAAATGGCAAGATACTGAACATAAGTGTTTCTGCTCATGCATTTAGGACAGGAAAAGCATTATTCTTTAAGCTATACGCGGGTTCATTTTTCGCTTGTTGAAGCATTTGCTAATTAGTTGCAACTTTGTACAAATTTTTCGATCTCAAATTGCTTGGTCATGAGTTTATTCACAGAAATCTCCGCTTTTCTGCAATCAGTTGTGGCTTTACATGTGCACTTGTTCATCTACCAACAGAAATGTTTTGGCACGTTCCTAGAATTCACGCTGGAGAATACTGTGTTGCTTTCTTCGGTGCTTAGAGCTCACACCCAGGTTAGAAAGTATTAACTTCTCATACTCATTTACTGTTACGATCATCTGCTTTGCTTCCATTCAAGAACTTGCATATGGAGTTTCTATGATTGTACCATCATTTAAACATCTGCTAGCCTAGGGATCCCGAGGTTGGGCTAATTCTTGTTGCTTGTGTTGGAATTATATATTACACTACATTCTTGTTAGAAAAAAACTATGATCATCCATTTATTGCTTGTTGTTTGATGGATCTTTAGATATAGTTGTTGAACTTAATTGTAGAATTGAAATTAAAAGAATATATATAGAGTCCTTTTTTCATGTCTTTGTGAAAAAAAAAAAAAAAATGAAAAATCATCTGTGTTGACCGTTATTGTGCTCACATTATTTGTTTTATGATCATATACTGTTAGTTTATATGTTGCTTTTGTATTATATTAACACAAATCTTGTAATGCTACTTTATGTTTCATGTGTTGCCTGTCAATATTTAAAGTATTGTCAGAATTATGCTCAATATATTTTTTTTTATCAGCACACAATTAGCCTCCTATGTTGTAAGATCATTCTTAGACAAGCTTGCACATAGATAGGGCAAGACACTAAATAAGATTTCTTAGTTTATACCCAAATGTTATTGATAAGGCTTATAATCTTTGAGCATCAATTGAACCATCTATAGTTAGGCCCAATTAGTTTATACATATATAAACCCTTAAAACATTTATAATAAATATTAACAACAACTATTAGTATGATAATTACTGATTATATTAAATCATGTCTGATAGCTATAAAAAATAAATTAATTACCAATTTATGTTTATAAATGCTAGTGTGTATTATTGGTTGGTTTGTTTTTGTCTTTGTAGGTTTTTATTATTCATAAAAAAAAAAAAAATTCTTCAAAACATCAAATTAAACATTTATCTTTTATTTTTTTTATATTATATAAAATATTTATTTTTACATTCAAAATATTACATTAATACTTATTTATATCAAATCAAATAATTATTTCGATTCAAAATTTTACTATTTAAACCCAAACTCTACAAACAAATTGAGCCATGTTTTGCACGAGATATTTCAAATAAAATACAAGGACCTAAGCTTGAAGTGTGTGTGTTTTAAATTCTTAGATTTTTGCAGAAAACGTTGTTGGATGTTGATATGCTTTTATAGGAATTTGTGGCATTGCATAGTAAAGAGACTGAAAATAAATAAATAAATAAGGCCTGTATGTTCTTTCCCTTCTTTTTTTTTTTTTTTTTTTTTTTTCATTTTCATGAAGAGTAGTTTGAATTTGATGTTTTGTAAAATGAAATGTCATATTTTTATATGTAATCTCGATAGTCGCATAATAATAATAAAAAATCTGAAACCAAATTAAAAAAGAATAAAAAGTCTTTTGTGTGTGTGTGTTCGTTTTTTTTTTAGGAGAAAATAGTTATTTGATGTATTATTAGTGTTAAATGTGATTAGTGAGAAAATGATAAATTAAATAACAAAAGTTGGGGGAACACACAAGTAAATGTACGGTGGGTGTTTTATTTTAAATGTAAAATAGATATTGTACGTGATATTTCAAATGAAAAATTAGATATTGGATGTATATTGTTGTTTAGGATGAAAAATGTTTCACCGTTAATTGCATTGTATGAAATAATTACCAAAATACACACATTTTCATTATTTTGAACATATAGTGGTATGAAATAATTAGTGTTCTTGTGTTTACTTCCCCATTTTCACAGTACACAATTTGCAATGAAATTACTTTTCTTGCCTTAATAATTACATCCACTACTTATTTTACAATCTAAACATCACATGAAATACTTATATATATTTCAAATCCCAAAACACATCCTTGTATTTTAAGCTATTTGGGAATGTGTATTGAGTTTGATTTTAATGGATGAGGTTGAGACAATTAATAATACCATAGCTATTACTTTACTTAGGTTGATGTTTCCTTCATGTCTGGTCTGGTCTGGTCTGGTCTGTTTGAACTATTGCAATAATTAAATTATATATTAATTTCTATTATTATGCTTGGTTAGTTACCATCTTATTCATTCCATTAGAGGCTCTTGTGGTGTGGTCCATTGCATTGTTAATTTGACAGTAACAGGACTTGGATATGTCTGAGTCTATCCATATATATACACACATACATAAATAGTCTATGCCAAACCTACCTGTTGGATTGCAGTATAACACAAGGCCCATCATGCTATATATATATATATATGTGTGTGTGTATGTATATACACACCATATGTAATGTAATTCATGTGTGTGTGAGCTGGTGATTGTAGAAGTGAATGTTATTATTTTCTTGGTCAAAAATAGATTAGCCTATGCACTTGTGCTTCAGAAAATTCAGATAGATTTCACTTTATGTTTATTTAGCTGATGAAACTGATGGCTCAAAGTGTGGAGTGATTTTGTCATATATATAAATATGCAGCAGATCTTAGGCTGATTGGGTCGGCATATGAAATAAAGATATACAATATAACATATTTACAATTTTATATTTTGTTATAGGACAAAATATATTGTGCTATGTAGAAATATATTTGTATGTTTTTATTATATATATATATATATATGCTGATTGAGTCAAATTAGCATGGACGCTAGATGAAATGATACAATTCCTGCCGTTGTGATTTAGGCTTTTTTTTTTTTTTTTTTTAATTGAGTTTTTAGAAGGTTTTGCAAAGAATTTACTGTTAGGTATTGATGTGATATTTTTTGAAAAGAAATATGGTATTTAATGTTTTTATTTAGTTGTGGTTGAGAAGAAAGAGTGTATTTTTATTGGAAATAGTACTAGATGAATTGTGTTGATTTGAATTTAAAATTGTGAAAAAACAAAACCTTAATACTAGAGCTTTAACGATCCGAGCCGAGCCAAATTTTAAGTGTTCGTTAACGTTCGCGAACAAGGCTCGTGTTCGTTCGTTAAGCTTTCGAGCTTATTCGTAGTGTTCGAGCTCGGCTTGTTAAGAATTTTTGTTATTTGAGCTCGTGTTCGTGTTTGGCTCGATTAAGCTCGTTCGAGCTCGTTTGTCTTATTTTTTAAAATTTATATACAAATTATAAAGAAAATTTAAAATTATTTTATTTATATATTTTAAATTAATATTTTATTTATTTATTAAATGTAATTTTATATGTATCTATAATATTTATAATAGATATATTATTTAAATGAATGTTCACGAATAAAGCTCGGGCTCGTTCGTTAACCAAACGAGCCTGTTTATGTTGTTCGGCTCGTTAATGTTCGCGAACGAGCTTTAACTGAGCCGAATTGAGCTAAGTTCATGAACCACTCGGTTCGTTTAATAGTTCTACTTAATACTAATGAAGAATGTTAAAGTTTCAAAAAAGTGTATATATAAAGAGAGCTCTCAAGCACATGTAATGAAATTGTTGTAATGCATGTGGAGAGAAGATGGATGGTTGTATTATGTGAGTGAATTATTATTACTCTTCCGTCCCACATAATTTGTCCCTATTTTTTATTTTCGTCTTGTCCCACATAATTTATCATTTCCTAACTATTTTAATCTTAATCTATAATTATTTTTACTAAATAATAATTATTTTTACTAATATATTTTTTAATTGCTTACTAAGTATATTTTACCTAAATTTTCGTGTCTACAATAATAGACACATATTACATGGGACGGGACGGAGGGAGTATTATTATTATTATTATTATTATTATTATTATTATTATCGAACACAGAAACGTGGTTGATAAATGCATGTCCGAAACTATATGTAATTTAGAGGCAGAGGGAATATTTAAAATTAATTAGAGATGGTGGTTGATGGATGAATTCATTGATAAGCAAGCAGTGGTGTTTAAACATGTTTTCAAAATGTTTAGGGTTTCTTTGGTTGGTGATTAGCTTTTAGATTTTATTTAGATAATATTTTATAAAAATATATTCAGAAACTGGGTTAGTGTTACCATTCAAATAAATTATTGTTTTGAGATAATAAAAAATAGATTTTGGGGTGTAATGTTAATAGATATAAATATAATATTTTACATAAAAAAAATATTTACATATTAAATAATAGTAAAAAATAAAAAAAGATAGTAGGAAAAAACATTACCTAGGAAAATATGAGTAAGAGGATGAGGTTGTGGGGTTTATGTCGTGTGTGGTTGATGGGGTGCATTTCGCATCCTCTCCATTACTATTATATTGATTTAGTATTGGGTATGATTTATCTGAGTTTTAAATCAAAATTAATATTATTTAATTTATATTTTTTTTAATAATTCTTTTTTATAAAATATTATTTAATTAAAATTTTGAACTCGAATCAAAACCAAACAAACTTAGTGTGTGTTCATTTGGTGGATTTTTATCCAAAATTTTACAATTTATTAATTTTTTTCTATTAAAAAATATCAAATGAAATATTTTTTTTTTATTTTTTTATATTATACTAAAAATTAATACATTTGAAACATTACATCAAATATATATTTATATCATATTATACAATTATTTCAATTCAAAATATTTACTGTTTAAATCTCAATTCAAAATTTTAACTTTCAAACAAACACACCCCAAAAATGTCTTCTTTAATTTACATTTTGCTACGTATACTATTGCCTTTTCATTCTCTTTGCCTCCCTAAGCTTCCTTGGGCGTTTGAAATTGTTTTTCTTTGTAGTGCAAAATTGCAAATGAAAAATAACACAATTTTGAATAAAAAATTATATAATTATCTAATACTAGTTTTATATTATCTTTGGAGTACAAAATTGCAAATGAAAAATAATACAATTTTGAATGAATAATTATATTTTTATCTAATACTATTTTTAATAAAAAAAAATATAAAAAAAATGAGACTAATTTAACGGTGAAACCCCTTCTTTTAGGTTCAATATATTCTTCTTATTTTTACCTTTGTATTCCTGTGGATTTTCACAACTTATCCTCATATTTAAATATTTCTTAGGTAATATTTTTTTAAATTCTGTCTCTCTCTACTTTGACAAGACACTACATTTTTTTTTTTTAATTTCTACCTGACTTTTTAGTACTTATTTTATCTTTGAAATTACCATATAATATAACAAATATTGTTTATACTCTCATTTTTTTATATAAATATATATTATCAATTACGTACTCTAAAATTATCCCGTTATAAAAAAAAATATCAGATTAATGTAC